TATTTCCAGTGCACTCACCTTCGAGTCGATGCCAATGATCTTGCTGCACTCCTCGCACGTATTGGCGAACACGTTCTCGTAGCACTTGATGCAGTACGGATGGTCGTCCCGGATGACGTAACGCTGTCCGGTGAGGCTCTCGTCGCACTGCCAGCAGCAGAAGTGTCCGGAGTGCCAGTCCTTGTCCATGGCTTTTGTGTACTCGCCACTGAAAATTAACTGCAAGCACATCGGGGATATTGGATATATAGAAAGTCACATTTCACATTTTTTTTTATAAAAAGGGTTGAGGGTTTCAGAAAAAAAAGGACATAACACATATATATTTTAGAGGTGTGTATTTAACATATATTTGTGATCCAATTGTTGTGTGGTTCAGTGTAATTTTGTTTCATGTTAGATTGTTTTTTTGTGGCACTTTGGGTGGTTTTCGGTTTGTTTGGCTTAAATAGACTTGGTGGATACCTTTTAGTAAACATTTTGGCCGAGGAAAGTAGAGTAGTAACGTGTGTCGTTTTGTAAAAGTTCGAAATGCGAGAGTTCATATTTGGATATTAAACAGAGTGATTCTGATTTTGGAAAATGTTGGGTGTTTTTTTTGAGAATTTAAAACAAGGAATTTGTTGAATTTTGAATGATTTGAATGGAAAGTGGAAAACATCGTTTACGAACTGCCACAAAACTGTGCTTGGGACACACATGACACAGGTCACCTACCCCCTTTCCTCGATGGTGGCGTCCACCTCGACCTCGCTGATCTGGACCTCGGATTCGCGACGCTTCGATGTCTTCTTGACCTTTTTCGTTTTCTTCACTTCCGTTTGCACGGTTTGCATAATTTCCACGTCCGCCATCGCGACCGACTGAACTTTCTATTATTATTATAGTATCTTGTGGATGCGTGTATTTGTATCTGTATCTGCGTGTTCTGGCTGAGCGTGTGTATATATTTGTATAGTTTTTATGTGGTTTTTGTATAGCGAACGCGTTGATTTCGATTCGATCGAGGTCCAGAACGTTATGAACTTTGCCGAGTCGGGATCTCAACTGGCGCAATGCTTTCGAAAATGTTTTTGAAATGCTCGAAATGCTCGAGATGCTGTGCTGCACCGCTCTGTATCTTTGTATCTCTGTATCTAGTTTCGCCACCGCCAAGTGTAAAAATAAAATCTCGGAGAGTAGAAGAGCGTAGCGTACCACTATCGCCGTCTCTAGAGATTTTCCCCCAGAGAGATATAGAGAAAGAGGGGAAGCGAGATATATGGTGTGGTAGAACCAGAACCAAGGCAGGCGTTTTGAAATATTGCGGTGGACAATGTAAATATCGCCAATAATTAACAGCATTATTGAATCTTTACCCAAAAAATTGTCCAATTTCTTCAATGATTTTTGGCCAATTTGTGTGCAATATTTCTTGCGCGTTTTTCGCGCTAAAAATAATAATTGAAAAATCGAAGCGAACGCATTTCAGGTGCCAAGAGGTGTGGGTGGCTGGGTGGCACACCTGCCTGTCCCGTCTGCCGGTCACAGGGGTGTGGCAGCCCCCGATGACCCCTCGTCCCTTGCCAACCGGAATGGCTTGTCAGGGGTTTTTGAAAAATTTTCAATTTTCTTTACCCCCTGCTCCTACCCCTCGACAGAAAGCGATGTAGTGTGTTTTTTCCTTATGGGTCTTAGTTGTTGCTGGCGCTTGTGCACACGACACACAAGTCGGAACACTCTCACAAACTCACACACACACTCTTGGAACTCTCGAAATTTGAAAATTCAAAATTTTCTCTTTCTTCGAACACTGCCCAGCACAGCACAGAATCCCTCCACAAATGAAGCATAAATATTGAATTAAAACCAAAATGATGATCCAAGTCTGGCATTTACTTATCGCACCCGTACCATACTCTTTGAATTCCATATAGAAAATATTTCCAATTGATCTTGTGGGATCTGCGTGGGTTCCAAGCTATCCATATATTAGCGTAATGGTATTTAATATATGGAATTTATTGGCGCATTCCTTGATTTTCAAAAATTACACCATTCGGCAAACAGACATCATTGGAATTGAAATGCCAATGAGGGGTCGTGTGTTTACTGAAACGGCAACCAACAGGTGTGCCGGCAAATAGCCCAAATAATTCCAAAGATTGTGTAATTTCGTACACAAACAAGTCTATAAGAAAAAGTTAATATTATTTCATGAATCTCTCTGACATTCTGACATTTGATGGATCTATCAGCATAGATTATAGCCCATTAGCAGAACACTCTTTCGAAGTGACCTCATCAATCTGGTTCGCCATTAATTTCGACGCCTGTTTTCGGCATATAATATATAATATATTTTAGCCCAATTAATAACCAATGTTTGTGAACGAAAAAGCAGAACAAACTTCCATTAGACAAATGGTGGCGACACCTAAGGGCAGTAGTCGGCCATCAAGGTGGGCAAGTACAAATAGCCAAAGTGACAGTTCAGTGGTAGAAAGCAATTAACAAGGCCACAAGCCTATCCCCCAGAGAATTACAAGACATATCAAAACTCAAAATAAACAAAAAATTATTGTTTGAAAATCTTATTGTTCACAATTCTGATGTAAACTGATTCACTGCCGTGATGGGAATTTATGGGCTAAAGGGGAATAAAACCAAATAAATACAACATAAATTTTCCGGTGAAGGTCAAGGAAGTATAATTTCTTTCAAAACAAAAAATTGAAATAATAAACATGGTCCAAAATTTTTAAGTGGGCCATTCCAGACCTCAGATATATACATATATATTTTCTATCTATCAAGTGCATGTTCGTGTACATAAAATAATGCATTGCATGTGCATATTTATTAGTTGTTGCCCCAACTATTTCTGCCACAGACACAACTGCAACAACAACTGCAACAGCATTGGAGCCGAGTGTAATGCAATCTCCGCGTTGCTCTAAAAATAAGCTGCATTTTGCAAATCTTTGATAAAAAGTTTTTTTTTTTTTTCTGACGCCGCGGCGGTTATTTGGCGTTTTTCACGCAGGCGTTTAGGCGTTAATTGGGTCATAAATTTATATATAAATAATACCACACATATAGCCAGGCCAGTCGTATATTTTCCAACGTATATTCGTATTTTTTATTGAGTGCCAAATGCAAAAAAGCGACAAGACATGCCAATTCTGTGTAATCAAGAGGGGCGGATACTTGATGTCGATCTGTGGGGGGTCGGCAGTGCCTATAAGTTCAAGTTTAAGTTTGTTTGGCTCTCTAGATGACACCGAAAAACAGCTGCTGATTTTAATTTGTCTTTTCATTTGGTCCAAGCAAATCAAATTAAGTCATGTTATTTGAAAATTATTGAGAAAAAATACTGAACTGAAAAGAAATGCATGAAATTGATGACTCTCGAATGTATTTTTGGGAATGTTTGCTGGCGCAGGAGAAAGGTGTTTCATTTAACTGACACTGAATAAGAAAAATTCATTTACCAGCAGCTGAACGCACAATTTTCAAGTGAATTTTCCCAAAAAAATTATTTGAGGCAAATAGCATTTCCCGCAGCTAGAAAAATATGTATGTATTTTCTACAAGTACTTTGTATCTGAAGAAGGGGTTTCTGGGGGGAAACGTTGGAGAAATATGAAAGAAAATAAAACCGCAGGCTTTTAAGTGTGCCCCGTAAGAAAAATGAATTCATGTCAAAGACGAAACTATTGAATACGACTTTTTGGCAACGTTTTGGCCGCGTTTGTTTGCCTGTGGCTCTAACGCAAGTTCGGAGAGATACAAGTACATTTATTTGCTGTATACGCTGAATTACGTAATTAGTTTTACAGACACAGATAGACAATTATACAGATAGATAGATATTCCAAATGGTCCGTTTAGACCCCGGGTAGAGGTGGACAAGATGGGTGGTGGACAAAGCCAAGTGAGCTGCGTAAACAAATCACTCGAGTGACACACTTTCCTGTTGGCCTGTCATAAATATTTTGGGAATTTTTCATTTCCAATTTCCCCCATTTTTGGGGCCGACTGACAGTCGCGAAAATAATTTGTTATCTTTGCGAACCTTTGTCGCCTTTCAGTGGCCGGCTTTAGCGTAATTTGACTAAAGATACGACATATAAAATATGACAGCAGCATTTCACCGCAAAGAACACTTTCACAAACAAGATGTATTTTCCTTAGAAAGAGGAAAGAGTCCAAGAGCAAACAAAATGGTTTCTGGTTTGCTGATTTATGTAGCATACTTTTCGGGATGGTGGTATTCCATATTCTTATGATTACTTTGAGGTTTCTTGTAGTTCGAGTTTTATTCATTTATTAATTGTTGAAGATTAATATTTATTCAAGAATATTTGAGTATGGAATGATTCTTTGATATTTTTTATCTATAATATATCATTTTTTAAGAATATCCAACTAATCTAACTAGCTTTATTTTAATATAGGAGCTCCCACATATTTTCCTTCGACCAAACTCTTGGCCAAACTTAATGCCATTTAGCCCTGACCTTAGATCGTATTATTCCGACATAAGACCCCTGAAAGACAGACGGTTTATGTTTTGGCTTATTTGCCAGACTGACAAGAGCATTAAAAATCGAGTAAATCTAGATGGTAAACGATTTGCATCGGGATTTATGTGTTGGCCCGTCAACGGGCTCATTGGTAAGACTCGTGTGTCAGAACGATGACATCATGTTCGAGGGAAAGGAGCCAAAATGCAAATTGGGCCAACATACACCGCATATACACCGGCTATATAGATACAGATGTGTGTATATGGGTAATTGTGGGACGATTTATGGGTCTTATACCTCCCAATACGCTCTGTCCTCCCCTGTGGGTGTCAGTGCACTTGGCGGTGCACCCATGGATGGATGACAACAGTGCCGCGGCATGAATGATCTCAATGCCCGAGTATTTCGTTGGTGGATGCAGAATTGGCACAAACCGCAGATACAAACTCGGGTGGGGTGTATGGGTGGTGATATTTTTAGCAGCCAGTGTACAACCAAATGTTTTCTTCATTTATTCAGTTGGCATTTATTCTCGGCATTCATTGTTTTTTTTTTGTGTTTTTTTTTTTTTTATTAAGACAAAATCGTTAAATAAACTAACAGCTAAGGTAAACAATCCTTCAATCGTTCGATGATTCTTGGGTTCATTTTTATAGTTTGCGGTTCGTTAGTATAATACATAGTTTATACAGAGCGGGATCAAGGATATCGATCCCTCAGTCAGAGGAGCGGATGCTGGATGCTGGATACTGGTTGCTGGGCATTCTGGGCAAGATTCTGGAACTGGGTCTGATTTCGTGTACAGCGTGCTCGGTTTTTGTGGATATTGGCTTAGACTGGACTGAATTGTGCTGGGCTTGACGTGACTTGGCTTATGAACATGTCTATAAAACAAAAATATTTAGAGAGTCATTCAAATGGGTGATAGAGTGGGGTTAGTGATCGAACCAAGCGCTGTTCTAGAAAAGCGGATAGAAGTTGGCGTCTTTCAGGATATCGAAGGTGTCCACCACGGATCGGGCGGGCACCACAGCAGCCACCTCCGCGACATTTGTGTCCGTTGGAGAATCTCCAATCTCCTCGATCGACGATGCCGGCGTCATGCATACACTATGCCCGGCACTCACAATTGAAAGTAGGTTCTGCTGGGTGGATTCTGGAGTTAAGTTCGTGGATACGGAAACGGGGGCTATCTCTGCCAGAGCTGCTGCTAGAGCCATATCTAGGTGGGAGTCTTCTGGGAAAGGTGGTGGGATTTCTTCTCTGGTCTCTTCTTTAGTTTCTTTTGTGGAAGCCTTCTTGCGTTTCTTGGTCTTCTTCTTGGGTGATGTTTGGCCCTCGTCGCGATCCTGGGTGTCCATTTCTGCTATGCCCTCCAGAGTTTCTCCCACAAAGGCCAGACTACTTCTGGGCGAGAAGAGTCCATTACCATCCTCGTTGGTTAGGCTGCTCTTGGAGCTACGACGGGATCGGGACTTTCTTTTCGGAGGCTCTGCCATCTCAGGATCATCGTTTCTTCGGAAGTATCCCGCTTGTGTATCTGAATCGTTGTCATCTCTGAGCTCTTCTTCTGTTTTAGATCCTTTTCGGAGCTTCTTCTTGCTCTTCTTCTTTTTGGGCTTCTCCATGGGTGGTTCTTCTACAGCAGCTGCTTCTTCAGGATATTCTTTGGGAGGCTCTTCATCTTGAGGCAGCTCCTCGGGTACATCTGGGAGTAATTCACGAACTGGACTGCGACTAAAAAGGGTGATACTTTCCCCTCCCAGACTATAACGACGAAGATCGACTGGCTCACCATTGACATCTCCGTTTTCTTCGTAATTATATGGATGCTCGTTTTGTTCTTGTTCTTCTGCAGGACCTCGGAGGTCTGATTCCTCCAACTGATCTCCAATATCTTCATTCATTTCATCTCCATTGTCATTCTCCGTTCCATTGTTTTCCACTTCGTCATTATCGTCGAGGCGGAAGTTCTTCCGCCAATTGTATTCCCGTTTTGGTTTGTAATTTAAGTCCACCTCGATGTCATCTTCTACAGCACCGACTTCCAGCTTGGGATTATAGCCGTAGCGAGTTCGCAGCCTCGTGGATTGCCGGGCAGCCACATGGGCATCCCCCAAGTACCGCATTTCCGACTCCCTGCGATCGTTTTCCGGAACCAGTCCCAAAGCAATGTCCACATCGGCATGCCGATTGGAGGAACTGGACCTCTCCAGCTCCCTGGTTTTGGCCCAAAGGGCATACCGTTCACTTTCCGAGCCGGACTTTTCCTTCTCCGACTCGCTGGTATCCGACGGGAGTTGCTCCTGAACCATAGTCTCGTACTCCCTCAGGATGCCCGACTGTTTTCTGTTCTTTATGGCATCGTTGTAGATTTGTTCAATGAAGGAATCCGGGTCTGAGTAGGGAGTGGCCCCGCCTACAGCGCCATCATCCAGGCCGTAATCCAAGAAGTCCTCCACGTCGTCCACCTCCTCCCAATCCTGAGCTCTCCGATTGGCATAACGATCAGTATTCCGTTCCGCTTCCTCGCACTCGGAGGTATCGTGATGGGACTCATCCGTGGGCTGGGTGCGTTCATTGTTATCCGAGATCCCTTCATCCAGTTCGAACTCGTAGTCGTCTTCGTCGTCTATCTCCACCACTGTCTGCCTATCATCGCTCTCGTTGGAGCTACTCCGCTCCTGGTCGAGATTCTCGTGGTCTCCGACTATATCGTATCTGTAGATGGCATTGGTGGAGTCGAATTCTGCTGCCTCAGCCTCGGCTGCCAAGACAGCTCTGGCCCATGACTCTTGATCCACCATGTCGTTCTTGGAGCCCACAAAGTCATCCGGCTCCTGGACATAGAAGTCCTCCTTCAACCAGGTTCTGGTGCCCGTCAATGTGCGTACCTCGATCTGAGAAATATAAACATAGTCGTCGCTAGGATACTCCTCCACAGGCTGCTCCTGGGCCAGTGAATAGCGACGGAAGTGGTGGTACTCCTCCGGCTCCAGTTCACTCATCAAAGCTGAATCCGAAGCCCGACGCTCGCTGTCCAGGAAATCGGCATTCAGATTCCGCGAAAAGTTCTCAAAGTTGATGCTCGAAGCGGCCAGCTTGTCCAGCAACTGATCCTGCAGCTCCCGCTTGGCTGCCTCGGCCTCAATGTCCTTGAGTTGGTTGAGTTCATCTTCCCTGAGGGGCGAGCGACTCTGGCTCCGAGATCTCTGGAACTCGGCGGTGCGGTGACGCAGATCGTCCAACTTGGTGGGTGACATTTCCTGGGACTGAACCGATCTCTCCTCGGAGTAGGTCTTTGGCTTGGCTCCCAAACGGTTTTCGGTCAGGGAGTCCAGAATGGCGGCTTGCAGCTCCCTTTGGACAGCTGCCTGTTCCCGGGCCTCTTCGAAACTCAATCCGGGCGAAGGACTCCGGGATCTCTTAAAATCAGCAGCTTGGCGTCGCAGATCTTTGAACTGATCGCTTCCCAGGTCCATTGACTCTCCTACATAAGTGGAGCGCTTAAAGCCACTGGCCATCAGTTCGTCCTGCAGGTCCTGGGCCACCTCGGAAACTGTGCGTTCCAGGTCCGGTATATCCTTGGTCATTTCAACCACCCGTTCCAGCTCAGAAGCTGTGGGACTGAGGACTCGCAGCTCGATTTCCTCCTGGGCGTTGTGCAGCTTCTCCAGGGCCTCCAAGTCCACCTCCCTTTGCTTAACACTGGAGGCCAACACGCTCTCCACTTCCTCGCTATTCTTCCGGAGAGTTCGCAGCTCACTGCCCTCCAGGTTGAGCATCAAGTGGAAGTCATCAGCCTCCGGATCCAGCGACTTGGAGCGCGAGCGGCAGGGTGACTTGGATCTGGACCGCGAAGGTGACAAGGAGCGCATGTCACGGGTCTCAACAGTGGACTCCTCCGTCTCCTGAACGAATTCGTAAACATATTCGACTGTTAGGCGTGCTTCTGGTTCCGGAGTCCTAGCTCTCTCCTGGAGGACCTCGAAGAACTGATCATTCTGGGCAATCAGCTTTTCCCGCCGCTTCTGGAGACTGTGTTCCAAATTGGCGGCTGTGGGCAGAGGAGACCGAGAGCGGGATCGCGAATGGGAGCGGACTCGGTTGAGACGCAGTTGCTCAAACAACCTAGCCATGCTTTCCGGAGTATCTTCAGGCTCTGCTTCCTCCTCGGGAGGTGGCTCCACAATTTCAATGGATATCATGGGCAAGGGAGGAGCTGGAGGAGATCCTGTTGGGGATGCTGCTTCGACTATAATCTCTGGTGACATGGGGGGAGCTGCAGACTCCACGATAATCTCTGGCGATTGCTGTTGGAGGTGGAGCTTCTCGAAGATTTCATCATTGTGTTGGATGCGTTTCAATCGACGACTCTCCAAGCTCTTCTCAATGTTATCCGACGTGGGCAGAGGTGACCTAGAGCGGGATCGTGAATGGGAACGCGCACACCTCTCGGCTCTCAAAGTCTCCACAAAGAGGAGCATCTGTTCGGGTGTCGTTTCCAGATCCTCCATGGGGGCATCTGCCATTTCATTAATTTCAATCACGGGCTGGGGAAGAGTCTCTTCTGACTGGGGACTTGTCCTGCCATTGCCGTTAGTTTCGATCTCCATGGCGCCTTCCGAGCCAGAGTGGGACAACCGCTCTGCCAGGTCATCATTCTGCTTGATCAATCTCTCCCTGCGTTTACTGATGCTCCTCTCAAGATTCTCCGAGGTGGGAAGAGGGGAACGGGAACGAGAACGTGATCGGGATCGGCCTCTTTCCTCCCGGGGAGCTTCCAAAGTCTCGTATATCATTGGGACAACCTCATTGCCATTTCTGGCATCATCAGCCACGTTATGGACTTGGATTTGGTTTTCCTGGGAATCATTTTCATTTAAATTGGATTCCAATAGTTGGAGGACAGACTCGCAGTTCAGCTCTCCCGCCACTACGCCTTCCTGGGTATCGTCGTACACCTCCAGGGATTTTTCCGCATCCACATCCATGAGATTGGCCACGTTCTTGGGCACTGGAGAGGGATTTCTTGAAGTCGATCGGGATCTGGAGGGGTTGACGGAGGCTGTGAAGTCATAAAAATCGCTGAGCCCCTCCATGAGGAGTCCGTGCTCATCCCGCCAAGGTGCCGTATCCGGTGGCTGGTGGATATTGATGGTGGGCGCTCCCGGCGGAGGCTGCTCCGGTGGTTGTTCCTGGTTGGCGGACCAACGCTCCTCGTAGTGATCCATCTCGTCGATGCGGGGACTGCGACGCAGGCCAGGTGAGCCACCCCTCTGCTCCTCCGTGGCAGACGAGGTTTGCAGCTGAGGGGGTGAAAGCAAGGGTGGTAGGATGCAAGCGGAAGCGGTAGCGGTAGCGGTAGCGGTAGCAGATTATGAAAAGCAAAGAAGCGAAGCAGTTAGAAGAGGATACAGAGCGGCAGAGGGGTTCAAAGGATCAAGGACTAGGATGGAGGAATGAGCTGGAGCTGGATTTGGCTGGCTGACCTACGCACTTACATTGGCTTTGTTGCTGTCGCTGTTATCCGCTGCCTGCGAGGTGTCCTTCTCCGATTCTTTTTCCTAAACACAGTAAACAATCGATAAAGATCCTTGAAGGATACCACCACTTACTCACCGCCTGCTCCTTAGAGTGTTGGTTCTTTAAAGCTTCCACCGCCTGCTCGTTCTGCGCCTCTGTGGCCTCCTCAAAGGACGATGATTTTGGTTCGTTGGTGGCTTCGTCCTCTACCTCCTCCCCCCGGGTGGACTTTTCCAGCTCCACTCCCTCCTCGTCGATGGACAAGGCCTTTTCCCGCTTCCAGAACTCAGTGTCCTTGTAGTGTTCCGGTACCACCTCGCCCCAAGGATTGGTGCTCTCCTCGCCGAGCATCTCCAGGGAGCCACTGGCCTCCGGCGGTGGCTTCACATCCTTGGCCGGACTCCGCTTGTGGCGGCGATGGTGCTGCTTGACCTTCAGGGTGGGCTCACTGGTGTACTTGATGGGATTGTAGTCCTCCCGGTCGCCATGTCGGAGCTCCTCCTCCTCCAGCGAGGTGAACATCTTCAACTCCTCGTCACGTGAGGCACGTGAGTCACGCGATGAGTTGGAGCTGCCACTAGAACGACGCTTCTTAAAGGCTCTTCGCCTTCCCGAGCCATCCTCTCGGACCAAAGGACGATTCTTGATTCCGTCTAGGGATCGTAGATAGTCCTCGGTGTACTGCACATCGGATACCTGATCCTCTCCCTCCGGTTCGGGTCGCTCTCCGGCTCGATTGATTTCGTCAGAGAGCTGGGTGCTGAACGAGGACTTTTGGCTGGAATTGGGCTCCACGGAGGATCCCTCATCGGAGACGCCCGGGAAGTTGAGGGTTTTGGACTTGACCAGGTACCCATCTTCAGAGCCGCTGCCTTGACCAAACTGGGTTTTGACTTTCTGCACCACCAGTGGCTCCTCTACTTCGGGTTCCTCGAAACGGGGCGGCAGTATCTTTTTCACACATGGCGCCTCCTCTACGGGCTCCATTCCGGCGTACTCGTCTTCCTCCTCCTTGCTCCGGTTGGCCTGCAACTGGCGCTGCTGCAGCATCACCATCTCCTCCTCGGCCTCCAGGAATCTTCTGGCGTTCTCCTCGATCATCCTCTGCTTCTGCTCCAGGTCCTGTTTACTGGAGATGAGCCGTCGGCTTTGCTCGGCCAGAACCACATCCTCCTCCAACTCGCTCTCGGTGGCGCTCATGTTAAGTTCTCTTTCGGCCGCCAGAAGTCGCTCCACGATTTCCGCATCCTGGCGAGCCTGTTCTTCTTCGGCTGCCTGGTCGAGTTCCCGTTGCTTTTCAGCCTCGAAGAGGCGTCGCTCGGCCTCGGCTGCCTCGGCCTCGGCCAGTTCTCTTTGGCGCTCAGCCTCCTGGCGCTCTTGTTCGGCTTGGAACAGTCTTCTTTCGTTTTCTTCGCGCTCCCGCTGCTCTTCCGCAGCCTGCAGCCGGCGTTCGTTCTCCTCGCGCTCTCTTTCCGCTGCTATGAGTCTTCTTTCGTTCTCCTCGCGCTGCAGGCGATCTCTTTCGGCTATTTCCCGCTCTTCCCGTTCTCTCTGCTCCCGCAGCTCCTTCTCTGCTTGTTCCTTTTCACGTTGCTTCTCGGCCTCTACGATTCTTCTGGCCTGCTCCTCGGCCTCCTCCTTCTCCCTCTGGATCCTTTGACGCTCCTCCGCCAACTTGGCTTCCGCTTCCGCCAGTTGGCGTCGCGTTTCCGCCTCTATTTGCTGTTGGCGCTCCAGTTCGGCTTCTAGTTTTCCCACGGGCTCACCGGAAGGCGTCACCCGGAAGCCTTTGGAGTAGAGAACCCCATCTTCCATAACATTAGTGCCCGCTAGGGATTCCCTCTCGCCCGCCTCCCTTATCTCCTTGTCCAGCCGCTCGCGCATTCGAGGCAGTTCCTCGGCATCTGCGGCAGCGTCCACGGAAGAGTCATCCGGATGCCGGAAGGTCCAGTGGTAGAGGTGCCTGGCCACAAAGGCAAACTCCAGGGCGCCCAGATAGCCGATTATCAGCGAGAAAATCAGCTCTCCGACGCCGGTCAGCGCCGTCTCTTCGGCGGCCATTGCGTAATCCGAATCCGAATCCGATTCCGAGTCCTCCGACGGTCAAAGATGCAATGAGTAGTCTCGGCGAGAAAACAGCCGCTGTTGGTGGCGCGTATTATATAAATTATATTCACCACGCACTCGCCTCTAAAATCACTCACACTTTGGCAGCTCACGTTAATGGCCAGCCGATTAGGTAATTCGAAAAATATTTATTTCACTTTCGCGGCCTGCCTTATTTCACTCAAAAATTATTGGACCAATCATCGATTGATATTTGCGGACATATATCTCAATATTTCGGGTCTCTGTTCCGGGCTGGGTGCGCTCGGAGAGGTGGGTCGGACGTGCAGCGGACCTCGGTTGCACGGTGGCGGGGCTCTTGTTAACCGCTAATCGATCGTCTTGCAACTGATTAATGCCCCAGCGACGGAAAGTGGCCAAGGGCCCTCTTCTGCGCGATTCTACAGAATCTACAGAGAGAGCACCAAGAAATCCGTTCAAATGGCAAACGGTGCTAATTGACGGCCAGCAGAGAGCCGAACACTCAACTGACAAGACAGCGGCTGAAATGAAAAAAAAAATACAACTTTTGTCGCTGGCTATTTGGCAACAAAAGTGCCTCTGTTGCTCTTGTTGCACTGCCCCACTAGCTTTCGCTTTGGCCGTGTCAAATGCCAACAGCAATCGGAATTGGCCAAGGCGGATTTTCTAATCAGTTTAGCAGCTCCCGACGCCTTCGGCCGCGCCCCTACTTTTCGGGAGGGGATCTATTTTTTGCCATTTCGATGTTTCAATGTCTATTTTCCACAAAAAAACACTTTTCGCCACTTTCTGCTTTGCTAGCAGCTTTCGTGCGGGAGAACAGTCAGCGAAATTAATGTAAGGCAATTAAAATAGATGCTCGATAAGGCAGAAGTAGAGAGGTTTTCATTTGCAAATTGATTTGCAGAGAAATCGAGAGGTCTAGAAAGAGGGTTTCTTTCATTTTAATAAAGGTTAGGCTTACGATCCATCAAAAATAATTTCAGAGTTCTTCTGAACATTTAAGTATTGAGTTTAAGATTAAAACTTAATTAATATTACAAATATTATCCTTGCTTTTATAAATGCCATTTTTATGGAAACGATAAGATTTATGCTAAAAATTACTCATACGCACTGTTGTCCTTCGAGATAATTGCTTAAAATGTCCCCTAAAGCTACCTATAGGCACTGTTACCTTCCAAAATTATTAAATAGACAATTTTAAGTAAAAATTAATGATACATATAAGAATTTAATAATAGAATCCTATTATAATCCATAAACAATAAAAATATTCAAGAGCCACCATATCATAAATAACTCATACGCCCTGTTGACTCTCATCTTACGAAGACTTTGAAAAGTGAAACACTTTTCTTATGTCTCACACTGTACTCAGTGTTTGCAAATATTTTTCTGTTTGGCATGGCCAATGCCGGGGGCCAGGGTCGCCACGCCCCTGTTCTAAACGCCTCTGAGTGGACTGCACACAAATGTTTGTCATAAATTTTGTCTCGGCACTGACACTAAGATTGCCAACAGATTGTGGCCAGAGCTCTTTCTTCTCAGAAAGAAAAACAAAAAAAAGAAATCTCCGATGGCGCTCTTTTTTTTAGTTTCTGTGTTTTCTTTACATTATGATGCGGCCAAAGGCAACAAAAGCAACTATTAGCTTAATTATTGTCACTTTGTGCATAATTGTGTTCTTGCCCCACATTACGGCACGGCTATTTTCGCATTCTATTGTTTATTTTCGTCAAATGCTTTTCATTAGAGATTTGGCCAAAAATACATAAATTGTGAATGAGCATATGGGTCGCCAGGGTGCTGATTTATTTATTTATTTTGATTCGCAGATGAAAGCGAAAGTTTTTTGCTTTTTTCGTTGAAATGGGAAAGTGATCAAAGCTGTGTGTTTTTTATTCAAAACTTTGGGGAAAAGTTTAGATTTCGTTCCATTACTTTAATTTGCAATTAAATCAGGATATAAAATTGAATATAATAGCTTCACTGATTTTCGCAATCTGTGACCTTAACCGATTGCCACTAGTTTCCGGCTCACCCACAATCGACTTCCGCTCGCCGGAAGACAACACGTCAAGCGCCAATGCTGCCAATGAACTGCTGGGGCGGTCGCCTCATTTCTTTGTTGCCGTCGCAGCGGCGCTGCAGCGGCCTGAAGGAGCTGGAAACCTCATCCCCAGCTCCTTCAGGTCGCAAAGTGAAGTTCAATGAAAATGCCATAACCTTTTAGGCGGACATAGGTATAGGTATAGGGGTTGGAGCGGTGGAAATAAAAGGGCGATAGCCGCACCTATGCAATAAATGTGAACTGCGTGTGGCGGACGATAAAAACCAGAGCCCGTGACAGTGAGCACTCACTCACATCCAACCACCCACCACACTTCCACACACACAGATACAATCTGCCGAGTGCGCCCCAAAGTATGCCACACAATAATTTTCAATTAGGGATCGCAAAAGTAGCTTACAGGACGCAGGACACAAGACATTAAGGGACAGTACTCACCTCATCACAGCCAGCACAGCGGGGCTTCAACATTTCCGCATAGTGACGCTCGCAGTAGATTTTGTCGTCGTGAACGCAGTAGGTGAGGTCCACCAGCAGCGAGTTGCAAGTGCTGCAGGTGAAGCACTTCGGGTGCCACATCACGCTCTCCACAAACTTGGGCGCCGCCACCACCAGATCCCCGGCGGCAATCTCGTTATCACAGTGCGCACAATGCTCATCGTAGGGGGCATCCTTGATGTAGCCTACCCGCCCAGAAAGATAATGCAAATTGTAATCAGTTTCTGGAAAAAATGAGGTAAGCTGGCCCTTGTGTGGGGGTTGGGGGGCAACAACCTCCTATAACCCACCTATGTCTAGCGCGATTTCATTCCGTGCCGTCACAAAGTCCTCAAAGGAAGCCTCATGTTGCACCTCCAGGTGCTTGCAGTGCTCCAGGGAGAGGTCCTGCTTGGGCAGCTGGTACGAGATCTGCCGCTCCCTGCTGCAGGCTCCTTCACTGCCCATACGTGGCACCACATCATCGGGCAGCTGCTCGAAGTAGCGGTTGATCCGCGAGGAGGCCCTCACTCCCGGAGGCACCCACGTAAAGCCCAAGTCGCGGGCCTCCACTCCCGAATCCGCTGGAGAGACCAGCTTGAAGCCGAGTCGCTCATGGACATTGGTTGTTTGTTGCTGATATATGGCATGGGCCTCTCGAGGACATTTACAGGATTGGCAGGTTTTTCTGAAAAGTATCGAAAATAAATAAATAAATTAGAATATATTTTTTTTAAATAAATCTTAAGAGAAGAGAAATATAATTAAGATTAATCACAAAAGAAAGTTCACCCCCACTGGCGCCATCGAACGGCAGCTTTCAGCACCAGCAAAAACATATATCTTACCTCACGATGAGATCGTAAATTTCTTTCCTATCGAACACTTTGCAGTAAATACTGAGAACATTGAGGCAGGCATAGTCCATGCCCGTCCAGGGGACATCCGAGGAGGCCAGTGCCGCCCACAGTGGGCACTCTGCGTGACGGTCCAGGTCGAGCATTTTCACCATTTTACGCCACTTTGACTTTCAGAAACTCTTTGGTTCAGTTTTGGGTTATTGTGCCTATTATCGCTGGTTTTAGTCTTAATGAACTTGGCTTTCATGGGGTTTCTTTTTTTTTAAATATCTTTTCTTATGACTTGACTCAGCAAAAATGGTCTGCTGTGCCGCCTCCACGGTTGGAGAATAAAAATCAGAAAACTAAGAAAACTAAGAGATCTCGCATTTAAGTAAAATCACCTTTCATTCGGCACGTCGGGGCTCGTTATTTGCTCATTGACATTTTGATTAAAGTGTTAATTTGACCTTTGTTCTGGGCTCTTTTGTTTACTACTCTCTGATGAGAACCGGGAGGGGAATCTGAATGCGAATTTCTATAATTACTTGTTTACTTATTTTTCAATTAGAGCTACAAGCTAAATAATAGACCCCATAAATACGCCCACGCCACTGGAAATGTGCGTAAAGTATTTAAGATTAAGAATCATTTGCTTTCCAGTAAGAAGTGGAACTGAAATGAGCTCAAGACTATGGCCTGTGGGTCTGAAATAAAATAAAAGGTAGAAAAGCATCTCTTGATAAGATTAATAAAGGTCTGGCCTCCAACTCCCTGGTAGGATTGCCCACTGGAGTGTATGTGTGTGATGTCATCGAGGCAGTGAAACAGAAAAATAAAAAACAAAAAAAATAAAAACCCAAAAACCGAAATTGCCAAATTCCATTTGCTCAATCATCGACGGAGGACAAACTGCGTTAACCTTCAAAATGAGATAAGCCGATGTGAGTTCTTCCACCCAAATGCTACTACTGCCAGGGAGGGGGTGCTGACAGCCTGTCCAAGAATTTCAGTTGACCTTTTATGGGCTTCCAGCGGACGAGGAACTGTTTGGGTAATTGCTCACGACTTTGATGCGGAAAAGTGCAACAGGTTTGGACTGGAGGGTGAAGAGAGATATGGATATGGAGGGTAGGTGGGTCAGGCAATGCAAATATATGGAATAATTTAATGTGTGTTCAGGTGAGTCAGAATCGGTTTTATCAAGAACTAGATCTGCCAGTTGTGTATATTTTCACAGTACACCGGTATGGAAATGAAAAATAAACTAAATTTAAATTGGCAACTCATATTCTCCCTTCGATAAGCAACTTTAAAGTAGATTCCATTCCCCGTTTTCAACCGCAGCATAATTAATGGCATTCGAGAATCAATTATGCACTGATTACAAACCGAAAACAATTGATTTCGATTGATTTTAAATGAAAAATATTATTAAAGCAATTGGAAAGAGTTCATCGCCGAAAATACACCTCATACCCACAACTATTTTTGTGTATACACCCAGAAATAAATGTCATTTTTTCCTTAATTGATGTGGAAACAAATTGAATTTGACAGATTTCCAAGCACAGATAGATCACACGGACGGGGATCTAAATTTAAAAATTTTGAATACCCGCAGCTGTGACTGTAGAGTCTTGAGGAACACATTTGTGTTTGCCCCTTGAAAGATAACTGACAATGCACCAATGCGGGCCATATGTGCTAATATGGTTAATAACGAGTACCACACTCTCCATCTAAAGATTCATGTTCCTGAAAGTACCTTTGTCTGGTGATGGTGATGGGCTCTGGTTCTGGCTGTTTGCTTTCAGTTGAGAGGAGATGCGCAATGTTATCGCTGAATAAACAATTAAAATGCCATTAAAACGTGTTCATTTCAGATTAGAGTCGTCACAAGAGCAACAAGAGTTGTGTTTGCTTTTTTTGTGTCATATCAGAAACAGGCGCAAAAACTGTGAATGTGGCTCAGCCAACGTTTGCCATCTGCCACAGATTTTTATTTAATTGAAATGGCCAAACCCCCTCAGCCCCAAACGCCCAATATAGCCAAATAGAATCATAATATAATAATAACTGATATCGTATGGTGTACAATCAACAAAAATGCGTATGAAAAACAAATAAAACTAGTTTGGGGACTGAAAGTTTTGCCAGATAAATGTAATTAAAAGCCAAAAGTTGGCTACAGTCTGCTCCATAATTGAATAGTTTTGTTACGGATTAGCTTATAGTTTGAAACCAGCTTTAAAATAATGAATATTTAATAAGAGCTTAGGGTATAATATTTTCAAGGTTTGAGGAGGTAGTCCACCCACTAAGTGCTAACTTTTAAGCTACTTGGCTGATAAAAAAGCGCTATCTATTTTGGCCATATTACGTGTTTATTATAGATATGATATCTTCTAGAATCTGGCTACAG